TGCGGGGGCGCCGCACCGCACTCCATCGCCCCTCGGCCGGCACGGGGCTCACTGGGCACGACCTGGCACCGGTTAGGCCTGGTCCGCGGGTGTTCTCGTACAGAGAGCCTGAACAACAGCCCAGGGGTCGTGGGGGGATCGGGAGTCCTGGTGGGGACACCCTTGGGGCTGCAGGGTCCGTCTGGGTGGCAGTGGGGGAGACTGTTTGGAAAGGTTTGTTTCATGTATGAAGTCTCTGAGTCACTGTTTGTGTTCAGTGGTGGTTAACATCACTTCAGAAAGGACATTGAGGGGCTGGAGTGCATCCAGAGAAAGGAATGGGGATGGGATAGGGTCTGGAGCACAAATCCTATAAGGAGAGGCTGAAGGAACTGGGGCTGTTTAGCCTAGAGAAAAGGAGGCTCAGGGGGTACTTCTTGCTCTCTACAGCTCCCTGATGGGAGGTTGGAGCCAGGTGGGTTTGGCCTCTTGTGCCAAGTCTCAAGTGAGAGGCAATGGCCTCAAGCTGTGCCACAGGAGTTTCAGATTAGGTATTAGAAACAATCCTTTCCCTGGTAGAGTGGTCAGGCTCTGGAATTAGTTGCCCAGAGATGTGGTGGAGGAACCATCTCTGGATGTGTTCAAGAGGCATCTGGATGTGGTGTTTGGGGACATCGTTTATGATGATTATGGTGGTGCTGGTTGATGGTGGGACTTGGTGATCTTGAAGGTCTCTTCCAAACCCTAATGATTCTGTGAAAGTGGCACAAGGTAGGGAGACATTTGCATTTAAAGAAATAATTATGATGCCCTAAGAGTGGGTGGTTTGCAGAAGATGGGGGTGAAGGTGGCAGCTGCTCCACACCTGCAGGGTGCAGCTGCTGGGCTGTATGTGGCTGTCTTCTTTTTCCCGAGGCTGAGCCATGCCCACCCATTTCCCTGGGCTGTGCTAGGTCTGTGGAGCCGCAGCAGCTGCTCCGTGGGCAGCGCAGTGAGGTTTGGGCACGCTCATGCTGCTGTAGGCTGCAGCTCTCTCACAGCCCCACTCTGTAAAGATCCCTTGGCTATAACTCACACAGACATGCCTGCAGACATTTATTTGGTTCCTTGAGCATATATATCAAGCTCCTTTGGATTTATGTGTTCCTTACTCTCTTATTTTCCTCATTTATTTGGTCCTATATGCAAGGTCCACCTGTTATCAGCTACATATATCCAGGTCATGCTGCTTAGAAATGCTTTTGTTCTTTAGTGCTGTGTGTTGGTTATACAAATGTCTTAATCCTTGGGTAAGCTCCTCATTAGTTCACACACTTCCTAGCTCCCCTGTAGCTACAATGATTAGACATTTTGCTTTTCAATATTTTCCTGCAGATCATTGCAGCAGAGCTGTGAGACAGCAGGGAAAGCACTGAGGCAACTTTGGGTAGGAGTTTGTCCCTCAAACTTGCCTTCCTTCCTACTCCAGCCTTGTTCATCCCTGCTCTGGAAGCTGACTGGTGGGTTTTTCTGTGTCTCAGAGGTTTATTTGAGGGATTTTGTGCCATCTAATTAAGAAGCCCCTTGAGTTAAGTTGTTGAAAGCTGTGTCAGAGCCACGGTAAGGTCAGGTTTCTGCGCTGAAGGTCATGGGTTTGGTGTGGGCGACTTGAGCTTGTAGCAGGGATGAGGTTCAATCTCCGAGTCATTGCAAAGATCAGGTGTTGCTAGCGAGGTATTCTGTGCACCTTCCAAAGATGGTGTGAGATTTCTCCCCTAATCCCCAACTTTTCTGCTGACATTATTCCAGTGCCAGCATGTCCATCCTGTCCAGCTTCTCTGCTCTGGGCCAGCAGTTCCTCGTGCTGGTGCTGCCCCTCTGTGAGGCTCTCTTGCCGCTCAGCCCAGGCTTTTTGCACTGGGATTTTTCTATGATCCTGATTGCTGGCTCTGCTGAAGTTTTTTTTGGGTCTTCCCTTGTGTCTTCCCCTCTTTTTTCTTCTTCTCTTTTTTTTCTTCCCCAGTAGGCCTGTGCAGTTAGTCCTATGTCCCTTTGCCCATCAATTTTCTTCTAACCTTTCAAGAAGATATTTCTGCACATGTGAGCTGTTGAGCCTTGTTCTGAGGTGGCAGGTGTTGCTTTCCAGGTGTGCTGAGGGATGCTGTCAGGATGGGGACAGATGGGAACAGTGAGCTGCCTGGTGCCAGGCCTGTGCTCTCGGGGCGTGGAGTATTCCTCTCTGCACCCCACGGAGCATGAGATGTTCACCCCCTGAAATGTTAGAATTCCTAGACATGTATGGAAAGGGAATGTGGTTTGGCAGAGCCTTGTGAGCATCCTGAAAACAGTCCATGGAGTATTTAATAATCTGGTGTGGGTGGGGATGGCTGAGGACTGACCATCGGGGAGCACTGAGGACTGTGTCAGGATTGGTACCAGTGACGCAGACACACACTGGCAAGGAATTTTTCCTTGTTTTGGGTTGCAATGGTTAGTAAACAGCATAGCTCATACAGGACTTGATCAGAACTCTGAATTTTTTCTGCTGTGAATGTATTTTTGTGGAAAACTCTGCAGGTTTGTGTCACTGACTCTAGTGTTACTGACCAAGGGGGAAAGTGGCTCTTTGTGTCTCCTCTTTTTCTTACAGTGCCCTGCTAGAATAATTAGCTTGTCTGAGGTTAATATATTTCTTGTGAATACAAGCTTCCAGAGTCAGGGAAAGCAAGCAGTGTGCTTCTTACCATCAAGGATTACCAGGAATTAATCTTTCAGTGCGAAGGCCATTAATCTTGGGCATGCAAACAGGGTTTATTTAGCTGTGTGCCAGTGCTTAGAGCAGTGATGTATGAAATCCCTTGGCAAATTCAGATGCTCTTGCTGCTAATCGCCTCCCCACCTGCTTGTCCACCTCCATCCCCTGCATCCCAGAATCCGCCTATGGGTGTCAGTCACTGGAGACGGATGGTGACACATGGAGCTGCTGATTGCCAGCTCTGGGCAGCCTGGGCTCTCAGCGCCTGGGTTGTCCTGCCCACCCAGGGGCAGTTTAGCTGTCACTAGGTCCCAGCTTTCCTGTTGTGCTGGGAGCTGGAGCACAAGAGCTCAGCTTGGGACTTGGATTTTTAAGTAAAGAGACCTGGCTGAACTCCTGCCATATGATCAGCATCTCACCATGTTCCTCGTGCAGTACACAGGTAAGGGGGATGTGGGGTTCTCTGAACAGACATTACTCCAATGGCTCTTGGTGCCATGTAGGATTATCTGGAGATGTCAGAGGTAACTAGCAAAATTCCGCTGCTCTCATCAGTGTGCCTGGCCAGCCCCTGGATCAGGCTGGCAGTTGTGAGGCTCTTAACAGTGACAGCTAAGCCAGGAGTACAGTAGAAAAACGGGCACAAGCCCAACAGTAGTTTTTGAACCTGAAACTCATCTCTGAAAGCAAAAGGTTGGGATCAAAAT